ATATAAGTAGTAATCACTGCCACCACTGCGATGTGAGGTTTCTGAAAGATAACTGGTTATAGCCAGGCAGTTTGACCCGGCAAACTCAGGGTGGCCCGTTAAAAGACATCATCTCACCTACGTTAGCGCAAAATACTTTGTGCTCTGACGCCTTTAATTGGTTCTTGGAAGGATTCAGCTCCACCCAGGTGACCTTTGACCTGTGTGTTATGGGAATTCGACCCGACCTCAAGTCGTGTCCCAGACACACTTGTCAGCTGATTAGGCAATTTGAAAAGTGCTCGTGTTGGGTATCGATTTTATTCCTGCTGCCTCTGGTGGGAGTTTGAGGGTGCGGAGAGATGGCGCTGTGGGATAAGCTGCCGCCGCTCAATGAGCAGGCCCACAAATTCCAGCCCGTCGACAAACTGAAGGGCACGCTGAGCAAGAAGGCACTGGACGCCTTCGCTCCACGGCACAAGCACGTCCAGGACCCAAGAATGAAGCAGGCCATCGTGATCATGGACAAGATGATTACCAAGGTCATGCTTGTCTGCGCCTTCCCGAACATTGTAGACGAAATGCAAGTATGGTCTTGTGGATTTATGGATTTCATCCTTAGCACTACAAATTGTTGCTTGGCAGAGATTTGACAGAGAAGTTCGTGGAGTACGACAAACTTGCACGCCAGTACGACAGATGTGGCATAGTAAATGCCTCAAGGAATCCAGCTACGTGGTCAACTGAGACGCTGAAATCGATTTGTCAGGGGAAACAGGTAAGTCCGTCTACTCTGATGATTGACCTGTTTGGACCCTAAAATCACAAATCAGGTAAATTAAAATCGATGAAATCTACTTACAACTGAGCCAGTGACTTAAAAGTCTCACTCGTTTTGTGACAAAATCGAACGAGATTTGGATGAATTGCAAGTTGATTAGTACATGTAATGTGCCTGGAAAAGCCCTTGTCGTATTTTAAGCATGTGAAAACGGATTTTTGTGGTTAAAACTTAAACGCATGCTAGATAGAGGAGCACCAATACTCGAATAATCCGACACAATTGCCTTTGTCTTGGGCCAAAAGTCATCTGTTGTTAAGGCTTAATACGTGGTGAGCTAGTTGCAATTCCTCTACTTAAACATTTTTGACATTCACATCTTGATGGTGCTACGGGTGCCCAGCCCACAGGTGTAAAACCCCGAGTGCAAATTAATCGACTATCTCGCTAGCACGCTATCGGACACCCCAAACTAAAACACAATCTGAACAGGCATGAGTCAGTGCCCTCCCACGCTAGCACAAGGACGTGAATTGACCAATAGGAAAAAGGAGGGGAATATGAATTCAAAAGTTGGTGTGCATAAACCGCCGTTGATGGTGAAAAATATATAATTGGACGCATCTTCACAACTGTGGTCATGGGGGTGCCGATAAAGTCGAAAGAAGTGTGATTTTAACCTACGTTTTATGCATAAAACACAAAACGCACTCCCTGAATGATTAAAATGAAAAACAATTGCATCTATGCACACCAAAGAACCATACAGTTGTAACTTCTGCATACGTGATTTGAAGTGGCGCCAAATTTTTTTTAAACAAACTGCAAACAAGGTAGTTAACAAGTGTTCTTGCACCGGTAACCTTTGACTAAATGTTAAACCTAGTCCGAAAATTCGCAATCGAAAACATTTTTACCGGATACATGAAATTTGATGCCATTTGAACACAACGCACTTGACCACGAAGAAGAGGAAGATGACGTTCGTGTTTGAACTGCATTTAACTCTCGTCAGTGTTGAATTTTAAAACCAATCAGATGTCAGATTTTATGGGTTGTGGAGATGACCGAATTTCTCAAAGAAGCTGTTTAGATCTGGCCCTTTTTGTGACCTTGAGTCAGATGTTTGTATCAAAAGGTGGCAGCGTAGATCTTTGAGTTGATATGCTGAAAAAAAGCGGTGGTTATACCATAATTCACATATGGTAGTGCACTTTTCAGAACTTGTGCACACGCCAGCTGCTTATAATTTTCATCAAGGAGGAAAAAACGAGGGACCACACCAATAGGACATTCACTTCAACGAGAACATGATTTACAAAACGATATCTACATTACTCACGGGTTTACAGTAGAAAGTGTAAAATCTTTGGAACCAAATTGTCAGAGCTCGCATCGACAATAGTAAAAAACCGTTCGCTTATGAAATTATTGTCTCAATGATCTGCACAAGAATGAAGCAATGTTTTAGATCAGCGACAATAAAAAATAAAGTTCTGCTTTTGAACACGTAACCATTCTCCAATGATGCCCTGTCAAAGTCACGCAGACACCTTAAATTAAATCGAATCAATAATTTACTGTTCAGTTATCCGACTAAGGAGACATGTGAAAGCATTAGCATCATCTGGTCACAGCAAAAAACATAGTCTATTCGGAAGAAAACTGTTCTTGCACAAAACCAGAATCTGTGTTCCTGTCGAGGGCTTTTTAGTTAAAAAAAAACGCTGCTTTCTTCTTCATATGTTTGATTTACTGACGTTAATTTGGCGTTGGATAAAGCAAAAACACTGTCACGAACGTCGGTAATGCGTGTTTGGCATCCACGCTCATATTTCACTGGTTTGTACTCTAGAGAATTGGGCGTTTATTCACGTCCATCACCTCAGCCTACGTGTGTTCTGGTACATCGATGACCCTCTGTACCTTATTCCCCACCCTACCCA